TCTCTCTCTCTCTCTCTCTCTCTCTCTCTCTCTCTCTCTCTCTCTCTCTCTCTCTCTCTCTCTCTCTCTCTCTCTCTCTCTGTGAGTTTTATTTTTTTCCGCAAGTCTTTTTAGCTTCAAGTTCAAAAGTTGCATGAGGAGGCAAAATAGGAGGGGAGAAGATGAAGAAGAAGAAGATTGAGGAGGAGGTAGCATCGATATCGCCGTGGGTTGCACGAGGGGGAGGGGAAAAGAAGAAGAAGAAAAAGAAGAAGAAGAAGAAGAAGAAGAAGAAGAAGAAAAAGAAGAAGATGAAGAAGGGGAGGAGGAGGAGGGGAGAAGACAAAGAAAGAGGTGAGAAGAATAAGAAGAACATGAAGAAGGGGAAAAGGATGAGCGGAGAAGAAGAATGAGCAGGTTGGGTGGTGCAGTGAGATGGCCCAGCTGGCTGAGTGGCATTGCGAGATGGATAGGCTTGTGGATGGCTTCTCTCCGTCTTACTAGCTGAGTGGCGTAGCGAGATGGATGGGCCGGTGCACGGCTCTCTCTCTGTCTCACTAAGTTTGATTTTTTTCTGTAAGGCTTTTTAACACTTATGTTGCATGAGGGGAAGCAAATGAAGGAAGGGGAGTTGACGATGAAGAAGAAGAACATTGGGGAGGAGGAGGAGGAGGTCGCGTCGATATTGGCGCAGATTGCACAAGGAGTAGGAGAGAAGGAGAAGAAGAAGAAGGAGACGAAGAAGAAGGGGAGAAAAAGGAGGTGGAGAAGGAGACGACGACGAAGAAGAAGAAGATAGAAACGAGGAAGAAGATAAGATGAGGAGGAGGTGGTGGGTGACTCCCATGGTAAGGTGTGCAGGATGACAGCCTTGTGCAGAACGCTGGCTGCATTGTAGTCATGCTGCATCTCGTCCAGGCGCGGCGTGATGACAGTTTCGTTGTGGTGATGCTTCTCGTCTCACGGGTCTTCCAATGGAGCGCCGGGGAGACGAGAGGATGGGGCCAGGCCCCGTGCAAATGTGAATAGGGATTGGAAATGCCCATGCACGTCGTGGCTATTAATCGTCGACGATCAATGGCCATGATTGGACATTTTCAGAACCCAAAAACAGGGTCTGGTAGGGCTGCCATAACTTGTCTTCGTGCCTGCCGACGCTCTTCACGTTACGACAGCTGCCAGGCCCGAGATTAGGGCGGATATAAATGTTTTGTTTTGGAGCTAGGGGCGCCCAGAGACCCATCTAGATGCATCATGCCCGACCAGGCACCTGGGCATGTCTTCGGGGCTGACTTAGGGTGCCCAGGTGCCCGGACGATCCACCTAGTGCACGCATGGCTAGGGTACCCAGGTTCCCATCTAGTTGACCCGAATGTATGTATATTGTCAAACAGAGCTGCTATTAAACCATAGACAGAGAGGGAGAAGAGGACGATAAACAAGGGACGGTGACAAACTGTTTTGTCGGAGTATATATTTATTTTGATCAGATTTGATGTGACTCGTTACGCATGCCATTTCCGACTGGAGAGCCGAGAGTAGGTTGTTTTTTTCCTGTTGACAATATAGGTTCGGCGCTACTGGTCGTTTGATCTTTGAAGGAGCTCTGTAGTTTTCCAGCCGATGATCCAAACAAACCGAAACCGTCAGCACAGCAGGCCCTAAATTGTCCTCTTGGGCCCGAATGAATTTTGTCAGTCCCTGCCAAGCGAGCGCATTGAAAGCTAGGTATTTTTTTATTTTTTTTTAATGGAACATGCTCCAATCTATTCGTGGGGAGCAGCACGTGCCGGGAACCACGCCCAGCATCCCATTTAAGATCATATTGAGAAATTGGGAAATTTATGGGGAAATCCTTGAGGTACCGGGGCCATTACACAGCTTCAGCTAAGAAAAGCAACTGTGCACAAGAACACTAAAATTCTCTATCCTCCAAAGCTCGGATCAAAGGAGCGTTCAGAACGAAAGAACCACCTGCTTTAGGGCCTTTTGGCAGCCCAACCCTACCTGCCTCACCCCTATACCCTGATGCTCAATCTCTACCAGGCCTCATGCCCCCAACTGCTAGGTTACAGGGTGGCACGACCCACCCCAGAAAACCCCCATCTGCTGGGTCGCAGGGCAAAGCGACCCGCCCTGGCTCCGGCCAACATCGACTAGGCACCAGCTCACTAAAAGACACCGAGTGCCTTCCACCCTCGACAACTCCCCAGATCTCTCTACCAGGTCTCATGCCCTCATACAGCTTGAGTTACAGGGCAGCGCAACCAAGGCCCAGCACCGACAGGCGTCGTTCTGGCCTCGTCTATTTGGAACTCGGGACTACGGCAAATACCAGTCAAGCTACCAATCAGCACCATAGTTGTAGATCCCATCATTCATCTTGCAAATATCCCCCCAAAAAACCATTCTCAACCCTAGTCCGACAAGTCTTACACGGTGAAGCCACCATCTTCACCGCTGCTGTACCCTATTTCAACCATGGTTGTGCCGGCAACTGGCCGGTTGGACCCCCGGTGGTCCAACCGGAATTCCGGTTGGGTCCAAAACTGGGTCAATTTTGTGTTATTTTTATTTTTTGAAAACATGGTTGGACTGCGCTCACCGAGATCTCCCCGAATCTGCAAAGAAAACTTTGAACAGAGAAGTTTCGTTTGGGGGGTTGGGCGGTTGGGGGGGAGTATTTCAGGGGTTGAGGGTCGGGTGCAGGGGTTATGGTGAGGGTGTTAGTGGTGGGGTTTGAGCAAGCACGGGCTTCAGCAGATATTGACAACAACGTACCTGGCTTTCTGCAAACATAAACCTTCCGCCCAAAAACTTTGAAAAGAAGGGTGGGGGTTATAGTGTTAGGGGGTGCTTGTCACTGCTGTCTGGTGACTGCCCTCGATACTGGTAGGGCGATGGTCCTGACACTGAGGTAGGATAGTAGGGATAGGGGGTGCACTGGGAGCATTAACGTGGGGAAGGGTAG